ATGTAATGTTGACATTGCAGGTTTTTCAAAATCTTGAAAGTGTCACATTTCTGGACTTTGACATTTATCGGGACGGTAATGCATATGCCTGCCTAGGACGGAAAAGCATTTTCCGTCCGGGACGGCAAATGCTTTTCCGTCCCCATTTCCCTGCTCGTTCCAAATTGATAATTTTCATACAGCTCTCACATATAATAATAAAACCACATGTATTACATGGAACTAATTAAATCTATTCACTTATTTACATTAATTGTTAAATTAGCATTGTTGTTTATAATGGAAATCTTGAGACCATCCTGTTGGAATTGTGTTTCGTTTGGAACTATTATCTCTTGCGCTTGCGGATGAGTTTCCGCATGTGATGTACTTGTGGATGCACTGGACAACTGAATACCTTTGGAAGTAGAGGATAGCATCAGAGCAGTCTTACTTTTGTTCTCCAAAGATGCCTCTATGTAGCCTTCAGCAACCGTGCTCGATTTCCACCCTCCCAGTCTTTTGAGTTGCAATAGATCGGCCCCGTTGTCAACCAATAAGGTTGCGGAAGTACGACGAAAAGCATGCCCTGTAAAAGTTTCAATTTTTGGAAGCTTCAAAAAAGCAGCTATTTTATGTGGAAATTTTGAGATTGAATGATAGCCAATTGCTTGGTTATGTAATTTCCCATTTCGCCATTGAACAAATAACCTGTCATTTTTCAAATTTTTCCGCAAAGTGAGGTATTTGTGGAAAATAGCAACAGAATCTGGATCGCTTATGATAAACGATCGACTTGTGTAAGTTTTTGTGTGTGGAATTTCTATAGCGATCTTTCCTTCCAAAACGTTGACGTGCTCCATTTTCATCTTGACTAGTTCATCGCTCCTACATGCACCCGACACACCAACAATTAGCGCTACCTGAAACCAGATAAAAATAAAATGGGTAACCTAGCTATAGCATACAGAAAATCATTTTGATTTTCGCATTTTTATCTTCTTTGTATATTTTTTGAAAACCTACCTTGATGCTAATGAATTCTTCAGCTGCCTTCGTGAGGAACTCGTTAATGTTTTCTCTGGAAAAAACGCTAGACTTTTTCGGCTGAAAGCCCAGATTTTGCCGCTTCAAAAAAGCTATAAGTTTTGCGTAATTGGAGATATCAACTTTCTCTTTCAATTTAATCATGGTTTTCAACATACTGTAAGTCGACCATAAAGTCGAAGGCTTCTTTTCCTTAGATAATTCGCCAAAATACGCCAACAAAACGGTCTCCGAGGCAGTATTTCTCGTTCCTTTCTGGCTACACCATGCTTCGAATATTTGAAAAGCCTTTTCGTACCGAAATTTGCTTTTTGCTGGAAGCAAACTCTCTCCAATCCTGTCTGCTGCTTCTTTTAATTCAGGTGGGGTACAATCCATCGCTTCATCTTCACTTTCCGAAATCATTTCTTTGGGGAGAACGGGGAGAAATCTAGTGAAAATCTATTATTTCCGCAAAAATACTGAGCGAAAACTACCGTCGTTAAGGCGTTGTTGATCTTATCTATGGTTGTTGATTTTGCGGTTTCCTGTGGTTTCGTCTTTTGTTTTGGCCTTTACAGGGCCTTTGAGATCGTCAAAATTGATGACATTGACAAAAAAAGTGAAATATTTTTTTCTAAGGCCAGTTTTACACTATATGAAAATTTCGTATAACAGAATCTTTAGTTTTTGCATCAGAAAATTAAGGGTTGAAAATAAAAAAGTATACAAACCTCGACGGAAAACTTCATTTCTGTCTCGAGGTTGAGTTTATCTCGACGCTTCGCGTCTCGATAAACTATAATAACCTCTCGACCAGCAATGAAGTATTTTCCGTCTCGGATTGTAATATACTTTTACGAACTCATAGAAAACATTCTGACTTTCTTTAATTGTTCCTAACAGAGGTTTAAAAAAAAAAACAACATAAACAAACGTCTAAAGAACATCCTTTCTTTATCTTTTAAAGAAACACTCGGACATTACCACGTACAGAAACAGTGATTTCCAAAACATCGAAAAAATTGTCATGCATGAGAACATACACATTATAAATTTTTTCAATATTCCGATAACTCTTCCAAATGAATGTGCTTGGTACATCGATAGGAAGTTTTCAAAGATTACTTATTGAAAACTTCCTAACTATCACTAGCTGGGGTTATTTGGATGCTGTCTGACCATATTTACCCTTATGCAAAGTTTTGTCGTTTTCGAGATTTCAGCATTTTTAGATATTTATGGGAAATATTTGAATTGTTGCTAAAACATATTGTTTTTTTTTTTTTGGAATAACCACTTTAACCTTTCTCAATTTTTTTTCCGATATTCCTGATATGCACTCTTGCACCTCAACCGAAAGATTGATACAAAAAATATGTAACCCAAGTTATGTGTTAAAATAAAATACATGGATTCTTAGCATGGATTCAAAATATCTAAAAAACAGCGAAACTTTGCATAAGGGGAAAAATGGTGAAACAGCTTCCAAATGACCTCAACTATCACTCATCGAAATCTTCCTATCGATGTACCAAACACCCTGTATAATTGGTTCGCTGTTCGATTTATATTTCTTAATTTTTTTTAAGTCGTTGGTTTCTTTTTCTATTATTATTTTTTTGTTGTTGTATGGTATGAATTTGCCGCCCCTGGATCGTGCCGCCCTGGGCGACCGCCCATCTCGCCCCCCCCCCTTAAGCCGGCCCTGATAACTGCTACATACACCGCCCAACCACCATCAACTTGCGCAACATAGACGAAACTATCAGCTGTTATTACCAGAATGCAGGTGGTCTAAGATCTAAAACGCACAAACTTTCGACAAACTCAGTAGCTTCAAATTTAGATATAATAGTCATCACTGAAACCTGGCTAAACGAAGGCTTTTCAGACGCAGAACTGTTCTCTTCTGAATACATGGTCTTTAGACAAGACCGCGACTATGCAACCTTAAGCACTTCAGGAGGAGGAGCAGTAAAAAGCACATACAAAGTACAGTAACTCCGATAGCGCAAACAACATTATTTGAACAACTTTGGGTACACTGCAAGCATCAAACCAAGGACTTAATTATAGGGGCCGTCTATATTACTTCAAACTCGCCATCAGAACATTACAAGTCCCTCTGTGATACTTGTGAATCACTTAAACAGAGACACGCCAGTGCTCCCTTCATAATTTTTGGAGGCTTCAACCTGCATCATCTTAAATGGATCCAAGATGGGGACTGCTTAGTACCAGAGTTGACCCACTGTGATAGCGAAACGGCTCTCTGTCGATGGAATGAGCCTCCTAGAACTTGACTAGCTCAACGCTCAACAGTGTAAGGAACTCTCATAACAGGCAACTTGACCTGATATTTGGTGACTCACTGGACAATGCTAATGTGTCTAAAAGTGACTTTCTGCTCACAAATGTTGTAGATATACACCCTCCACTGGAATTGACATTCCAAATCCAATCTACTCCCACGCTAAAATCTGATGAAAAATTGTCAGTTTTTCAGTTTACACTAGCCGATTTCCAAGCACTGAATGCGAACCTAACAGGAGACAGCATCAATGTAAAACTCAATAAATTTTATGATGCTATCTTTCAGGGCATCGATCGATTTGTACTCAAGAAGCGCGTAAGATTAGACAAATATCCCAAATGGTTCAAGTCGCACCTCAGGAACCTCATAAAAAGAAAAAACCGCCTTTATAAAGAAATACCGGAAATCCCGGTCAACTCCAGATTATCAATTATCAATCCTACTCTGAAGCGCGGAGGGAGGTTAAATACCATATACAGAAATGCATATCACAAAAACAGACCACATGATTCCCGGCAATATTAAACACTTCTGATTTTATGTTAAATCACCTAATAAAAATTACGGTCTACCTTCTGAAATGCTCTTTAATGGATCTTCTTCCACCAATCCTACTCAAATAGCAAACTTTTTTGCCGAACACTTTAAAAGCTGCTACTCAGATCATAGCTCAGTAACGGCTAACGAGCAACACTCCGTGCGTTTGGAGGGCACTTACCAGACCACACTTTCACCGCCCAAGAAATCAAAGCAAAAATAAGCAAACTGGATGCATCTAAGTGTGCCGGCCCTGACAGCCTTCCTCCAAATTTCTTGAAAAACAGCGGAGATTCTCTGGTCGGTCCTCTCTGCAAGATTTTTCAAATGTCATTCAACTCAGGCCTTGTGCCGGACCGATGGAAAATGTCTACTCTAACGGGTGCGTTAAGTTGGCTCCCTGCAGTTGATATTTATTAATCAAAATGCTATCACAGCAGGGTTATAGCTAGCACAATCACTGGTTGAGCTAGCACACCCACAGGAATTACGTAATCGTCTCCCCAAATCGGGGGGGGGGGGGGCAACTTAACGCTAGCCCCCCCCCCCCCCCCCCCCCCAGTTAATATTTTTTATCCAAAATGCTAGCACACCAAGGTTATAGCTAGCACACCAATATTTGAATAAGAAGTGGGTATCACTGAACCAAATTCACTTCAATCCAAAGTCTTTCGCGCGACTAGGTTCCAATTTTTTCGAAATTTTTTCGCGGTTCGAGGTGTCTCCAGCTTTACTCAGTTAAACGCACTCTGAGAATCAAAATTCGAAAATCCGCACGACTGCGCCAATTATGTAATCATATAAAAGACTTAACTTTTTAAATTATTTTTTTTAAAAATGTAAACATAAAAATGTTGTTGAGTGACTTGTGAATACAGTTGGAACTAATTACTCTGGCTAGGCCTGGAAATATGGTAAGCTCCTAAAAGCTCATAAAAAAAGTAAACAACTGTATTTAGTTACACAGGATTTGGAATATATAACTAGCTTTTATACAAATGATTAAATGTTGACAGGCAAATGTATGTAGGTCTGGACAAGGCTCAAGCACTCGTGTTTCTTTTATCTTTAAACATTACTTTATAAATAAATACCCTGTATTTCTTTTATACATATGAAATTATTTCCTGACAAGCTCGAGCAGGTAAGTATTTGTCATTTTTTTGAGTTTCAAAATGTCACACGAAAATTCAAAATTTCAAACATGAAAAATTTCTTATTTAAATTGGCTGACATTGTTTTGGACATTTTAATAAATTACTGCGTACAGTTCGTTTTCTACGCTGTGGCCTGTAATGAATCGATAAAATACTGTTTCCTTGTATAGAAAACTATAAAAATGGACGGACCACTGAAAAATCCCCAAACTGAAATCCTTACCCTTGTGGAAATTGTAAAGCACAATCTATTTTTCGCCGTAATCAGAGGGTCCAGCTGTAACCGAAAACTGAAAAACGATGGAGACCTGTTTTATTTTTCAATTGATGAAGAATTGCAGTACAATAACTATTACTGCGACTTTGGGCCGTTAAGTATTTCATGCTTGTTTAAGTATTGCATGAAATTAAACAAATATTTACAATATGGAAGAGGTATTAAAGGAATTGTTCATTATACATGTTCAAATGCTGATAAAAAAGCTAATGCTGCCTTTTTAATTGGCGCATATTGTGTGATTTATTTGAAAATGCAACCAAGGGACATTTATAATTTGTTAGAACAAGCAGGACCTTTCAAGTGAGTTTCTCTTCAATAATAAACAAGGTAATAATCTAGCTATTTTAGGCACTTCTTGGATGCATCGCAATTCATTTGCCAATTTACCTTGAAAATTATCGACTGTTATCAAGCGATAGCCAAGGCAATAATATTCAATTTCTTCAACTTTAATGATTTCAATTCCTTAGAATATGATTTATATAATAAGCTAGAGTATGGAGATTTGAATTGGTTATTGCCCAGAAAGTTTTTGGCATTCATTGGCCCTGCTGATAATGGAACTGCACATTCTCCAGGGTTTTACATTAAATATTTTTTGAAAAACGATGTCAAAACTGTTGTGAGGTTGAATACGGTTAAATATGACTCTTATGCGTAAGTATTTTGTTCAAATAGAGAAATTTCTGTAATGGGATTATTTGAAGGTTTATGCAAGTTGGTATCGAACATTTCGATTTGATATATCCTGATGGTACTGTACCTCCAAAGGAAATCCTTATGAAGTTTTTATATATTGCTGAAAGTGCTCCAGCTGCCATAGCAGTACATTGTAAGGTAATTTGTTTTACTGGAAACTGTCCAATAAATAGCAAGAAAATTGTATTGAGAAATGATACACATCGCTTTTTGGAGTAAGGCCTCTTTTGTATATTTCTCAGGAGTAGAAATTTTGCATATTTAGTATATTCAGCCAAATGGCATTTGTATTCCCTCTACAAGGAACATGCCAAGATAGCAAAAGAAATTAGCTTTGTGGGTATCATTTCAGACTGTTTTTAGTAGAACTGTTTTCTACCTCTAACTTCTTTGCCTATACTCCTAAATCTCGGTGCTTGGCTTTTTTTTTCATTGTGTTTGGCGCCTAAGATGATGAAGATAATTATACTAAAACTCCTCTCTCTCTTGAATATTTAGGCTGGTTTAGGTAGAACTGGATCACTGATAGGCGCATATCTAATAAAACACTACAGGATGACAGCTAGAGAAGCGATTGCCTGGCTTAGAATCTGTAGACCTGGATCTGTTATAGGGCAGCAGCAAATATGGCTGGAAAAAATACAAAATTGGTTGTGGAGAATTGGCACTCAATACAGGTAGATATCCTCAAACATAAATAGACGTTATTGGCTATATTTCATTAAAAAAAATTTAGATTAGAAAAGTATGGAGAAAGCAATAGGATTCCACGTCATAAATACGGAATCTACAGCAAAGTATGGCCTACAGAAAGAGAAAAACTGTTACGAGAAACTCGCAAGAAGTTACAATCCAGTTTTACTAAATCCCAACTGGAGGCACTTACCCAGGTTAGTATTTATTGAAACACTAATGTATAAAACCCTACTTGAACCAATTTCTTAGGCTCAAAACACAAGAAAACTAATTACCGTCGAAAAAATGTCAGACAATGACTCAAAAATTTTTCCAACAACAGGAGACAGTTTCAAAAACATTTCCAAATTGTTATCTTCAGTCCACGGCATGTGCAGCAGCGAGTGTAAACCCATATCAGACATGCCTGTGAAACAAGTTCTCCAATTGGAAAAATGTATAATGTCTAATGACGAAGAATTGCCATTACCTCTAAAAATTAAGCAACAATCAAAGAAAACATTAGTGAAACAAACCGCTCAAAAATTTTTCAAAGTACCTACTTTGCCAACTCAAGGAGATAAATTGAATGAAATTAAAGCTATTCGATTGAAAAGCTTGTTTCGGAAGGCACACAAATCCTAAAAAAAATGTTATTTCAAATTTTTTTGATTCAATAAAGTTCAAAATGACTTCACTCTAACTTCTTGTAATAAGTAGGTAGGTATTTTATTATGAAATAGTTAATTATCAATACACCACAAAATATAATATTATAATTAAACACTTTGAATTGCTTGTTTCTCAGCCTGATACTTGTAATGCAAATCGTTGCAATCGTTATTATCAATATGTATCCATCCAGATTGTTTCATGTGATATACTCTGACAATACCACCAGAATAAGCATCTCTGTGAGTGGCATGATAAATAGCTCTACGACCCAAATCGTAAGCTTCCGCATCGGTCAAATCCCATTTGTAGCCAGAATCAAGGACACCAAAGGCGTAAATTGAACCGGAACCAACGCTGAAGACTTTGCCCGGAGTTCTGGTACCTTCAGAGTCGATATAATAAAGCTGGGGTCCCTAAAACATTGAAACTTAGCTACCGAATTAATAAATAAAAATTTTAAAAAACACTTACTCGTTTGTCCCATCCAGCCAACATCATTCCAATACTCAGACCCATGTTTTTGTAGTTGTAAACCATATTAGACATCAACTTTGAAGCTGCAGCAACTGAGATTCTCTCTCTGTTTCTGAGTTCATACAGTCTGCATTGCTTGGCCAGGACTCTGTCCCAGTAAACACAGTCAGCAGCACCGCCAGCCAAAGTTCCTAGAGAGATAAGTTTGAAAAATTAGCCATTTAGGCCGAGAATATTGTTGTCATCTATGGAATTCTTTTCTGTCATTTGTACAGCAATTAATTTAAAAAAAGGCAATTGAATAAGTCTTACCTAGCAAAAAGTCGTTAATTTCGACAATTTTCTTCATAGTTTGGGAGCCAATGAATTGGCCTCCAGTAGCACGAGAGTCCACAGCCAGAACCACCCCGCCTTGGTACATGAAACCAAGGGTTGTGGTACCATGATCAAATTCGATTTTGATGTCACGGCCAGCGTCGTCTTTGTTTAGCTGTGCAAGATTTTGAGCAGGCTGAAAAGAATTGGATAGTTTATAGTGGCTTTGTAAAGATGTACAATAATTAGTGAATGTAGTGAATTGGGTTTTGTCGATATTCTCTTCTACTTGTACATACAGGGTATCCCAAATCCATGAATTTTGGAAAACTATAGGATTTCGGGCAAAGGGCAAATTGAGATAAAGTTTAGCAATTTTACCTAAATAAAATGTCGTTTTGAGGTTGAAAACTTTCTGTACCTTAGTACTAAGGTAAGCTACCTTCAACTTGTTTAATCTGAAAACTTTCCTTATCCTAGTCTAGTAGTGGAGGACTACAATACCGGAAAATTTCCAACATGAATACTGCTGCAACCCTTCATGATTCTATTCCCCGCAGTGTTTCGACCATAACACGTTCGATGTTGCTACGTTTGGAAAGTTTTATGATTTCTCAATTTTTCAATTTTACATTGTGTTGGATTTTCGTGGCATGCAGAGTTTTCAATTAAAATTAATGAAAAATTTTCTTGTCTCGACTAGGATTTGAACCCAGGACCCTCGCATATCCAGTGCAACGCTCTAAGAACTGAGCTACCAAGACCTGTTTCATTTCTACCTTGTCGGTCAAGTCTTTCATCAATTTCAAGTCGTTAGTCGTAAAGACCAACGGCAACCTTCGGCGGTTATCGTTAACGAACAATTTATGATTTCTCAATAATCTTGGGGGAACGTAAGAGTCAAGTTGACGAAGAAGTTCCGAGCAGTTTATAGAACCATGCAGAATTTTGTGTTCGAATAGTACATCTAAATTCGATCTACTAGTCTCCAATGACTGAATGTTGAGAATTATCTCCAATCCAAACTAACCCAAAAACCTTCTCTGAATTGACTCTAGACCTGAAATATTTTTTTAAAAAAATATTCTAAGCGGGACCTAACCAGGCTAAAATACAATATTTTCAGGTGAAGTCCTGTGTATTTATTAAAATAAAGTCTAATATTCACAATACTTTGCTCCTACAAAAATTCAAATGATCAGCAAAAGTGACTCTAAAATCAAACAAACAATTCCCAAATCCTTCACTGTCTCAACCTCCTCGAGCTGTCAAGCTCAGAAAATAGTCGTTGGATTCCACAACAACAGCCTTAGTGAAATGAATATATTTACACTTATCCATATTAACAAAGAATCTATTTTTGTCACACCATGCATGAAAAGTGTCCAAGTCTTTTTGGATTTTAAATGTATCGGGTCTTCAAAAAAAAAAACCAATCGAAGATTGCTTTGATTACGAAAACGTATGTCGCATTACTGTTTCTTTATTGGTCAGGATTTTTGACATGACATTTTGACATTAAGTTTATTGACAAAATGAAAGAAAAATTTTGCTAAGACATACGTTTGAAAAACCATAGCAATCTTTGATTGGTTTTTTTTTTGAAGACCCGATATCTTTATTTAATTTAGAAAAACACGACGGTTTTCTACCATCTACCATACACTTCGGTTTTGGAACGACGTGTTTCATCGCTACGCGCCGCTTTGTTTTGGTTTTCGTTCGAATTGCAAGCGACACCGCTACACGCATAGAGTAGATAGGAATGTAAATTAATGCACGCAGGCACGCTTTGATTATGTCTTCCCAACAAGATGCTATCGACAGGGAGTTATTAATTTCCGAGGTACCATCAAGAACCGGTATGATAAAAACAAAAATTACAAAAAAAACTACAAAAAAATTACAAAAGTCTTTCAGCTGAAGAATTTGGTGGGTTGTTTGAAATTGGTACATTTCTTTCTCTAAAATGTAGTCGAAAGTTTCAACGGACATACGAAGGAACTGAAATTCCTGGTCGGATTACATCGAAGTTCATGATACAAATCATGGAATTTTCCAAATATTAGACGACTTTGATTAAATTGATGTACTCATTTTCTTCTCTTTTTAATTGAAATTAATCGAGTTAAACACGGGTTTTCAACTAATAACAGTTTAAGCATCAAATAAGACGAATCTTGCTAGCTAGGACAATTCTAAACTAAAAACGCTCATGAAGCAAGCTTGTTAATGTGCACACAGCACCGCGGGCGTTCAACGCGCACCGCTCATCGCTCGCCAATGTGCACGCAGCCTAACACAGTTTTCTATAATTATCGTTATTAGGATTTAATGTTGCTGCTGTATTATTTACATTCATACATAACTTTTAGCTGTATGAGCCGGTTCAATTGCTCTTTCGGTGTTATTTCCTTCCCTGAAATATTTAGCGTCTATTTGAGGAAACTCCGAATGCTTGCCGGAATTAATTTTGGCTGACTTCAAGGGAATGACATCACTTGCTATTTGGCCTCATACATATGAAGGCGTTGTGGCATTTATATCAATCTTGTTTTCTGATTTGGTATGCTCACTCGTGTTGCACTGAGGAGAACTAATAAGTTCGAAACCGGTATGTAGCTAAGGAAGTGTCCAATGAAAGGAAGCTCGATTTTCTATTTATTTTCTTACAAATCACAAACACTTTACACACACGTAGGATGAGCTTATGAGGTCAATGCCGTGGACTGTAAACTTATGAATACCTGTACCATGAACTTTTAGCTGTATGGCAAGTACTTTTTCATTTTTCGCCCCCCCCCCCCTTCTCAAGGAAATCCTGGGACCGCGCCTGTAAAAATCCTTCAAAATCCCCTAAAATGCTTCAAAATCACCTAAAATCTTAAAAATCTGAAATCCTGTGAAATCATGTGAATATTTTCAAAATCCTACAAAATCCATCAAGATTTAAAATCTGTTTACAGGGTGTTTCGTCATATTTTGACCCCTACCTACAGCTTTAGCTATACGAGGTGGAAACAAACTTTAAATATCAAAAGTTGTACGGTTTTATCTGTAGTATATTTTGGCGCTCCTAAAACAAACAAATTCGCATAGCAAAATTATAATAAATCTCCGAATTATAATTTTTTTTCAATGGAACAAGCTGTATATCTTAGTTCTAATAAAATCCTTTTTCTCCTGTTTCCAAATAAAGGTACCATATGTTGATATTTGGTTCAGTTGTTTTTAGGCTATTTAAATTTAAAAATGCATTTACATCTCGATTTACATAACCCTAAATTAGGTCTGTTTCAACGTCTGTTGCCAGTTCCTTCATCTCCAATGGTAAGGCTAAACCGAGGGCTAAGCTTAATGCAACTTTGAACTTGAATAGCACAAAAACAGCTGAACCAAATATCAACATATAAGTATGGTTTACTTGGAAACAGGAGAGCAAGGGCAAGGACTTTCATTAGAGCTAAAATATTTATTTATTTATTTATTTCACCACAGTATCCACAGCAAATTGCCATTTACAAACACATCTTAAAAATCTTATCAGTTTAATCAAACCCGAGATCCAACCTTAAAATATACAAGTACAAAATGAGTATAACACATGAAAACCTATGTATCCTGAGACTCATGCAGTCGTTTATCTATTATTTTAGTGAAAGCCTTTAAATTAAGCAGTTCCAAGTCCAGGTCGCTTGCAAAAATACTAAAAAGGTTACACATACTATACAAAGAAGATGCCTTATAAGAGTTTGTTTGAGGAAAACCAGACCTCCATATCAAAAGCCTTGGCAATTCTGATGATGAATTCCATCCCATTGTTTCACCGCTGATGCTGACAATGGAGTCATTAATTCTGTATTGAAACAACGTTGGATTCTTTTTGAGTGTAAAAGTCATTTTTGTACATTTATTCACATTAAAACTGAAACTGTTGTACCTACACCAGTCAACAACCCTACTCAAATCTCTCTGCAGTAACAACTCACATTCATGCTTACTAGTCACATTTAAAAACACTTTAAGATCATCAGCATACAACAGTGCGTTAGCATTTTCTAGGCCAAGACAAAAATAGCTGTAACAAATAACAGTGGTCCCAGATTTAACCCCCCCCCCCCATAAATTAGGGACGGTTGATTTTTTTGGGAGCAATCCATGCTGGCATTCAACAAATGATGTACTTTTATTTATTTATTTATTGGCAATAGTAGTTACAAAGGAACAATAGAATAAATTTAATAGTCAATAATATTAACAAACTTAACAGACTTAACAATATTCTAGTAATTTAACTAAGGTTAAAAAATTCCTCACTATTGCAATTAATAGCACACAATGGTATTTTAAATACTGTGAGTGTGCTTTTCTAACTTATTAATAATTATTCTTTTGAGGTAAGCAACAATTTTTATAATTAGCTATGTGTAATTAAATAAATATCTATGTTATATTATATTAGATAGTTTATATTAAAATTACTTTCAATTAACCACTCATTAACTGTTTTTTTTACTAAGTGATAAGGTTTTGATCTTATACTTACAGGCGAGTTATTGTAAATTTTAGGTCCTACACAATAAATGTGAGTTTGACACACAGCATGTCTAGGGTTTTGCAACATAACATTATTTTGCATTACACTTCTTGTATTAATATTATGATTTATAGCTTCTCGATATGTTCAGTTTTTTAGCATAAATCTAATAACGGATTTTAAAAAAAGTTGATTAGGAGTCAGCAAATAACTTTCATTATATAACAGGTGCGCTGGGTATGTTCTATTTTTGAAAAGCATGATTTTTATAATCCATTTTTGAGCTATTTGTAGTTTATTCATTATAGTTACTCCAGCACTACCCCATACAATCAATCCATAGTTCATAATGGACTCTACTAGAACATAGTAAACTGTTTTTAAGGTTTTAAAGGGCAAAATGTTTCTCAATTCATAGAATTTAAAAATAACTTTCCGAATTTTATCAGTTACCTGTTGAACTTGCACTTTCCAAGTAAAATTCTCATCTATTATAACTCCCAAATATTTTAAACTGTCCTTTCTCCCTATGGATTGATTGCAGTGACACCGGTTATGTTGTTTACATTGTGATTCATGTACTATAAGATTTTGATACTCGGGAAGTGACCGTGCAGATAACGAAAAAGCAACAAATTTAGTCTTATCAACATTCAATG